TCCCGACCGGTAACGGAAGCCTGCGAAAATCTTTATGGTAATTTTTTTCTGGGACCCAGGATCAGAAAAAGTACATCGTGTGGGGGACTCTGTCCTGTAAGTTTGAACGCCTAACATTTCTTTTCTTGCAGACTCCGCTGATGTTGTTGCCACCCCAGAGCCAGTTTTGTAGACCCCGTCTCCCACCCCTCAGGCTTTCCTCCATTGGTGACGTTCCAATGAGATGCTTTTGCCAAGGCTACCGGTGGCTTCCGTGTGGCTTAAATTCCACAGATTTTTCCTTGGTCTTCATCTAGTTTCTCTCTTCTCGAGATACTTTCTCTGCTTGGCCTCTGAGACGCCCCACCAGCCCCTCGGCCATTCCTTCTTATCCTCTTTGCTGGTTGCTTCTCAACGCCCAGCTCCCAGACCTTAAATTACCCGCAGGCGTTGGGCTTGATCTACCTCAAGGCTCTTCGTGAGTTCACCCATCCCCAAAACTGGCAATTTCATCCACTCAGTAAGTTCCAATTATATCTCCAGCTCAGACATCTGCAGACTCTGCCGCCAGACATCGTCACACGTGCCCAGCAGGCATCACAAACTGTTCGCACATCCAACATAAACCTCCCGACTCCCTCCCTGCCCCAGACCCGCTCCTCCTGCTGTCGTCTCCATCTCAGTGAGTGGGTACTTCGTCCTTGTGGCTTTCCAGGCCCCAGATCTTGATGTCTTCCTTTATCCTTCTCCCGGTCCCACACTCCACCATAACGGCCTTTCCTAAGTCCATCCAGGGGCCGGCCACTTCCCACCCTCGTCGCTGCTGCTTCCATCGTGCAGGCTACCTACCATCACCTGTCACCACCTTTCTATCCCCTGCTTCTATCTCTGCGGTCCCTTGTTCATATCAGCCCAAATGATGTATGGACATCTTGAGTCAGATCATGTCCTTCCTGTGCTCATCCCCCTCCAGTGGTTTCCCACGTCTCTAAACAAACAAAGGCCTGCAAGGCCCACCCAAGGCCTTCAGCACCCTTCCCTCTGTCCGCTACATCCCCACCATCCTGGCATCCCGGCTGTTCCTAGAACACATCCAGCAGTTTCTTCCTCAGGGCCTTTGCACCTGCTGTTCCTTCGGCTTAGATGCTTTTCCAGGTAATCACATGCCTTATTCTCTCACTTCAGTCCTCTGCTCAAATGTCACCTGATGGAGAGGCCTTTTCTGGCTGCCCCACTGAGAACAACACCACACTTCTGTGTTTCTTATTCTCCGTGTCCCTCTTACCAGATTTTACTTTTTTTAAAGAAATTTTTACATTTGTTTATTTTAGAGAGACAGAGCACAAATGGGGGGAGGGGCAGAGAGAGAGGGAAACACGGAATCTGAAGCAGGCTCCAGGCTCTGAGCTGCCAGCACAGAGCCTGATGCGGGGCTCGAACTCACAAACTGTGAGATCGTGACCTGAGCCAAAGTCGGATGCTTAACCTACTGAGCCACCCAGGCACCCCTACTTTTCTTCATTGTACTAATCGCCTCCCCCCCCCTCCCCTGCCCCCGGCATGATATATCTGGTCTGGTGCTGACTGACAGTCTTTCTCAGTGGGGTGGAAGGACCAGGAGGGCAGGAGCCACTCAGTCTATGAGAGTTCTTGGTATACATAGAGGGTGCTCAGTAGGAGCTTGTGGAGTAAATGACTGTAAAAATGCTTTTGAGTATGTAGGTTTCATGTCTGTCTACTTCCTTTCTGTGTTCTAGTCCAGGAGCGGAATGGCCCACTGCCTCCCCCGCCTTCTGCTCCCAGGCCAGGTCACTTGGGCCACCGGCCTGGAGTCCCCTCCCCCCCCGCCAGCCTCCTGACGCACAACCACAGTGGGGTCGCGTGATTCCGAACGCCCAGGCCAGGGAAGCGTTCGCAAGTTACCCTGCTCTTGTGATGCGGGGAACCCGGGGGCAGAGCTCTTTTCCTGGAATGCCATCCGGGCCTGCTGCTCTCCCTCACCGGGTGATGCAGTGTGAGGAATCCGTCACTCAGCCTGGCAGCACGCCAGGGAGGAGGCCGACACCTTGGCCCCATCTCTCTTCTCCTTTTTGCCCCATCTGATGTCAGAGCGATTTCAAAGCGGTGAAGCCTAGTCACTGCCCCGAGGTTGGCGGTGCGGGGGAGCCGCTGGCCGGGGCCAGGCGGTGGCTGCCGTGCTCCCTAGTCGCGGGCCACCCAGAACGGAAGCAGAGCATATAGCTGGTGGAATACCAGCCCCAGAAATAACCTTCGGGCCCAACTGCCTTCCTGGATGTCTGTCTTACAGGAAACACCCACGCACATTCGAGACACTGCGTCTGCGGTCTGTGCAACAATTCATATTCTGCAAGGTGATTTCACGCGCTTTCATTTGTCCTCACGCCCACTGGGTTTTCCCTTAACATTTGTTTTAAAAGTTTATTTTGAGAGAGAGAGAGAGAGCACGAGCAGGGGAGGAGCGGAGAAAGGGGGAGACAGAGAATCCCAAGCAGGCTCCACACCGTCAGCTCCGAGCCCAACGTGGGGCTTGAACGCACGAACTGGGAGATCATGACCTGAGCCGAAACCAAGAGCCGGACGCTGAACCGACTGAGCCACCCAGGGGCCCGTAACATTTTTTACTTAGAGTAACAGTCACCGCTTTCAGCGTATAGTTGCATGAGTTGCCCAACACATCCAGTGATACTCACCCTCAACCCGGATATTGCACGGTTCCATCATCACCCCAAATCCTGCCAGGACCCCTCTTGGGCAACTGCCCCCCCCCCTCACTCTACCTCCAGCTGCTGGCAGCCACGGATCTGTTTTCTGTCCTTATAATTTGCCTTACCCAGAATTGTCACGGGATTCGAATCATACAGTCGTTGCCTTTTGAGTCTGGCTTCCTTCCCTCCGTGCACTTGAGATTTCTTCTGTGTGATTATGCGTACCAGTCATTCGGTGCTGAGTATTAGTCCGCTGGATGGAGATTCGTTTATCCATTCCCCAACCGCGGGATCTTTAGGCAGCCGCTGGGGTTTTGGTCGTTATGAATAGAGCAACTATTCACGTGAGCATCAGGTGAACATATGTTTTCATTTCCTTGGGAGAAAACCTAGAAGTGGGGATCCTAGGGATGGCGGGGGTGTATTTCGCTTTAGAGGAGAAACTGCCAGACTGTTTTCTAAATTGCGTTTCTTCCAGCAGTGCTCGAGGGCACTGGTCCTCCACCTCCTCACCAGCGCCGGGTCTGGTCAGCCTCTAACCTTGGCCGTTCTCTTAGCCACGGTGCTGCTTTTAATTTTCATGTTTCTGGTGATTCATGATGCCCAGCGCCTTTTCATATGGCTCCTTGCCATCCGTGTATCTTCTTTTGTGACATGTTGAGATCTTTTGGCCTCTTGAAAACTTGGATTGTTTTTCTTACGCCGAATTTTGTGAGTTCTTTGTATGTTCTTGGATGCAAGCGACTTATCAGACGTACGATTTGCAAATCCTTTCTCCCAGTCCGTGGCTTGTCTTTTTGTACCCTTCATGGTGTCTTTCTTTCTTTCTTTCTTTTTTTTCACGGTGTCTTTCAAAGTGCAAATTTCTTAAATTTTGACAAAGGCCAGTGTATCAGTTCATTCTTCTAAGGGCCAGGCTAATGATGTTCCATCTAAGAAAATTTTGCTGTATCTGAGGTCACAGTGATTTTCGCCTCTGTTTCTTTGGATAGTTTTATTATGGCTTTAAGGTTTTCCGTGTAGATCTATGGCCCATTTTGAGTTAGTTTTTTATAAGGTGTGAGGTATGGATTAAGGTTCATTTTTGTTGGCGTGTGGACATCCAATCGTTCCCTACCGTTTCTTTTAAAGACTGTTCCTCCTCCCTTTCGTTGTTTTTGCGCCTTGCCAAACACCAGTTCTCCTTCTTTGCAAAGATCTGTGTCTGGACTCCTCATTCTGTCTCAGGCACCTCTGTCACTAGCCTTTCACCAATGCTGCATCGTGTTGGCTGCTGGAGTTTTGCAGTAAGTCTGGAAATCACATAGTGACTCCACCTACCTCTCCAGCATGGCGTTTATTATTCCCCCCACTTTATGGGTGTTGGAACTGTCCATGATCATGCTTAGCCAACCTGCTGACAGCCTGGCCTCCCTTATGTAGTAACTCAGCTGCCTGGCTCCTACTCAAAACCCACTTCTCGTGCCTAGCCTGATGCTCAGAGTGTGGCCTTTGGGATCTGCTCTGGGTAGAGGTGTCAGCCCTGCTTCTCGGTTGTGTGGCCCTGGGAAAGTAATTTTAAGCCCTCCGTGCCTCACTATCCCCACCTGTAGAATGGGTGCAACCGTGCTACCTGCCTTACAGGTGGGTATGAACATGGAATGGTTGCCAGCTCAAGCCATTGGAAGCCTGCTGCTGTTTGATCATTTTTGGCAGGCACGAATGGCAGTTTCACATCGTTCAACCTCACAGGCAAACTCCCTCCTAGAGCTAGACAGAGGGCGTGTACCCCAGGAAGGCAGCTTTGCCGGTGGCCATTGTCACTATCGTTACCCCTGCTCACGATGCTGTCGCTAGTGCGCTGTTATCCCAGATGGCGGTGGCCCCTGAGGCTGATGTCCCTGAGTCCTTGAATCGGGCAGCCAGCCACCACTGAGAGCTTCTGGGGGCAAAGCTTCTCACCAAGGCTTCCAAGAATAACACGGCCCAACCTCTACTCCCGTGGAGCGAAAGCGTGCCCCGGTGTAACAGAGTGTGCAAAGTACAACGGGAGAAGTGGGTGGGAAGGAGGGCGTGGCAGGACTTCCCAGGCGGGGCCTTGTAGGATGATTAGGAGTTTGGGGCTGGAGGAACATTGCAGGCACAGCCTGTGTAAAGGCTTGGAAGGGGAGGCCGGCAGGCTTTAGGGGAGCCTGAGGTTTGATTCTGGGGCGGAGCGTGGGAAGCAGCCCACCGTGGCCTGGAATGGGTTCACAAGTAACTTCCCTCCCTGTCTTTTCCTTCCACAGTCAAGTCCCGACGATCCCTGCCTTCGCCATGGCCGCGAGAACCATTATCATCGACCACGGGTCTGGCTTTCTGAAGGCTGGCTTGTCTGGGTGGAATGAGCCCCAGATGGTCTTCCCGAGCATCGTGAACTACATCCCGTGCAGGGAGAACCCCGGCCCCAGCTATGCCCGAAGGCGCGTGAGTCTGGGCATCGACATTTGCCACCCTGATACCTTCAGCTACCCCATCCAGCGTGGCCGCGTCCTCAACTGGGAAGGCGTGGAGCACATCTGGTCATTTGTCCTGGAGAAACACAGGCGGGAGCATGAGGACTCCCCCGTGATGGTCACAGAGTGCCCTCTGAGGGAGCCCGCGGACCGACAGAAGACCCTGGAGGTAAGGCCTGGCACTTTGTGTTTGGACATGAGGAGGGTCGGGAGCTCCGTTTTCTAAAGAATCTGCCCCATCGCGGTCTCCCGAGTACCTACCGTGTGTCTGGCACCTGTTCTAGGCAAGATGGGGTTCACGGAGTTTCCTCCAACAGACGGGGACATGGCAGTTGAAATAGTCTATGAAGGGGCGCCTGGGTGGCTCCGTCGGTTAAGCGCTCGACTTCGGCTCAGGTCACGATCTCACTGTCTGTGAGTTCGAGCCCCGTGTCGGGCTCTGTGCTGACAGCTCAGAGCCTGGAGCCTGTTTCAGATTCTGTGTCTCCCTCTCTCTCTGACCCTCCCCCGTTCATGCTCTGTCTCTCCCTGTCTAAAAAATAAATAAAACGTTAAAAAAAAATAAAAAACAATAGAAATAGTCTATGAAGATGGGGAGAAGCTGGGTACTTTGTTCATGGATTCCGAAATGTTCAGAGATCATGTTCCATCTTTGGGGAAGACTTGACCTTGAATAAATTACCCACTAAGAATTCCGGAGAGTGATCACTGCTAGAAACAAAATGAAATGGGGTGATAGCTGGCTGGTGGGGAGACGGTGATTTAGGGAGGGTTTCTCTGAGGAGGTGATTTCAGTCACCAGGGAGGATGGGAAGAGGGAGGCAGGAAGGTGAAGTCACAGGGGTTGCGTCTTGTAGGCCCGAGCCTGTGGGTGGGGAGGGCTTTGATTTTACCCTAAGTCAAGTCTTGGCAAACTACAGCCAGTGGGCCAAAGTGGCCCACCATCTGTTGTTATAAATAAAGTTTTATTGGAACATAGCCATGTTCACCCATTTACATATCGTCCTTGGCTACTTTCGTAGCACAGAGCTGAGTAGTTGTGGCAGAGACTGTATATATAGCATGAAAAGGCTAAAAGACCTACTTATTGTAGGGTTGCTAGATAAAATGCACGTCTGAGCTGAATTTCAGATAAGCAACAGATAATACTTTAGTATAAGCGTGTCCCAAGTAGTGCATGGGACATACGTACACGAAAACATTGTTGTTTGTCTGAGAGTCAAACTTAATTGGGCAGCCTGTATTTTTGTTTGCTAAATTTGGCAACCCCGGCTGTCTAGCTTTTATAGGAAATGCTTGCCAACCCCCGCTCTAAATAGATCGGAAGCTCCTGGAGAGTTCTAAGTGGGATTCATATTTGATTTCCCATTTGAAAAAGAGGGCCTTGGCTTCCATTTGGGAAATGGATGGTGGCGGGACAGTATTCTG